TCATGACCATTGCTTTCAATCATTTACACGTTTAAAGAAATAGTTAACCAAAAAATTTAAATTAGCTGAAAATTTAATCCAAGATCAAGAAGAATTTGCTTCTTCATTAGGACAGTTTTTAAAAAAACTTTAGCATTGCAATGGCCTGAGAGTGAGCAAATTTTCTAACTATTCCTTTAATGACCAGATAGCTATCCAAGCAGAAAAAATAGTTCTCTTCAAATCCTTGTGCCATTAACCCATATGTGCTATTTTTATTCATTATTTACATAAGTTAGCTATAATAATTCATTACATTTATATAGCGCTTTTCTAAGCACTCAAAGTGCTTTACATTGTCAGGGGGTATCTCCTCATCCACCACCAGTGTGCAGCATCCACCTGGATGATGCGACGGCAGCCATAGTGCACCAGAACGCCCACCACTCACCACACACCAGCTTATTGGTGGAGAGGAGACAGAGTGATGAAGCCAATTAGCAGATATGGGGATTGTTAGGAGGCCATGATGATCAGAGGCCAATGGGCAAATTTGGCCAGGATGCCGAGGTCACACCTCTACTCTTTTCGAAAGACATCCTGGGATTTTTTTAATGACCACAGAGAGTCAGGACCTCGGTTTAACGTCTCATCCAAAGGATGGTGCTTGTTGACAGTATAGTGTCCCCGTCACTACACTGGGGCGTTAGGACCCACACAGACCACAGGGTGAGCACCCCCTGCTGGCCTCACTAACACCTCTTCCAGCAGCAACCTAGTTTTCCCAGGAGGTCTCCCATCCAGGTACTGACCAGGCTCAGCCCTGCTTAGCTTCAGTGGGCAACCAGCCTGGGACTACAGGGTGATATGACTGCTATAAACATCTCGACTTTGCCCAACTTTCTCAGCAAGCCTCTCTTAAAACTATAACTGTACTTGACCTTCGAAGAAGAGTTTACACTAATGTCTGCTGTAGAGTGTTAAACTTCAGAACTGCTCTCCAATAAACGTGTCTAATAAATCTTAACCTAAATGTCATCTCTCTTCAGATAAATTCATGCAGCTAAACGGTGCTCTCTTCAGTCTGAATGGAGGCACGGGTTACGTGCTTAAACCAGAGTGGATGCGAGATCCAACCAAGAAGAAGCCTGCTAAACAAACCATCAGAATCAGAGTAAATAACTCTTATTTGCTTGAAACTGCAGTTGAGTCAGTTCAACCTTTTATTGAGTTCTAGAATGTTAAAGTAATAGGAATGCATTGTAAATTAAAGTAATTGAAGTAAAAAGTAATTATTTGCTCACCTTGATGTCATTCCAAATCTGTATGGCTTGTGAATTTGTAGACTAAAATATGAGAAATTGTCATTTTGTTGCTTGACAGTCTCCAGTTAAATTCATTATGTGGAAAAGATTATCTTTTGTGTTCTACAGAAGAAAGACATTTACATTTTTTAAGGTTTTACATGTTTTGAATGACATGGCAGATGCTTGTTTTGGGGTGAACTAGCCGCATTTGTGTGGTACAGTTTTGTCAAAACTATTAGTCATTTTCTTGGGTTTCCTGCAGGTGATGGCAGCCAGGCATCTGCCCAATCCAGACCACATTGTCAGTCCTTTTGTGCAGGTTGAGCTGTGGCCATACACAGGAGCTCAAGTAGACGACTACAGTTTCAAGACTACTCTCTTCAGTAAGGATACTGGAAGAAAGTTAGGGAGAGAGGAATTAGAATTTAGATTACAGTAGTGAAGAATGTTGGTTTCTTTGCAGAGGACAACGGACTGAATCCAGTGTGGCTGGGTCAAATGAATCCACCCAAATGCTTTAAAGTAGATGAGCCAGACCTGGCCTTCCTGCGCTTTATGGTTTTTGAGGAGGACACATTCTCTGATGCGAAGTTTCTTGCACAGGCCACTTTTCCTATTAGAGGTATTCGTCAAGGTAAATCCATCCAACAGATCTGAGCCCCAAAATATATAATATGCCTTGTAAATATTCCATTCTTATTTTAGTGAACTTTCTTCACTAATATATAGGAGGGGGGGATATCTTAGCCACAAGAATGTATTATTTCGTTTTAGTTAAATCCTGGGTATGAATTAAGAATTCATCCCTCGTTTTAGTAAATTGTGGCCACACTACTAATTTGTTCCATTACTACAATAAATCGTGGTCACATTGTACTAATTTGCCGATTTAATTAAAACAAGGGAATGACTTAGTACAATGTTGCCATGATTTACTAAAATGAGGGAATGAATTAGTAGTGTGCATGGCCACAATTGTAGTAGTAGTCGTGGGAAGGAATTCATGGCCGTAATTTCACTAAAATTAGATAAAGTAAATCGTGGCTATGATTGAACTAAAATGAGCAAACAAATTCATAATCTGTGGCCACAGTACATATATTTTTGTATGCATGTGATGCGCAGGGCTCTGCAAGTACTCCCTGAGATTTATTTTAGTATAAGATAATATTTTAATATAATGTCAGTTAATGGCTACAAGACATGAAGGTAAAAGGTTTAGTGAGTGTCTTATTTCAATTTTTATGATTTAACTTCACTTTTCATCAAACCACAATCCCCAGAACCGGAGATCAGTTTTAATACTTTCATAATATTGCTTCAAAAGAAAAATAGTGCCTCTGTATTAAAATCTAAAAGGGTCTCTTGAGCTGTTGCATTTCTCTTCTGGACATTCTTTTCTTTTTATTAGGGTATCGGTCTGTCCCACTGAAGAACAGGTTTAGTGAAAACCTGGAGCTTTCATCTCTTCTGGTGCATGCAGAGCAGGTGGAGGTGAGGGACCTTTTTTTTTTTAGATTAATGTACATTAACCTCGAGACTGCTGATATGAAAGCAGTAACACCACCAAAAACAAATAAAAGCCCAATTTAAAATATTACTATTTCCTCATTCCAGTCAGTAATGAAAAATCTTTGTTTACAGGTGTAAACCGCCTTAACCACACGAAACTAGCAGATGTATCAATGCGAATATGGTGAAAAGCATGTGGTTCAGTCCTGGTCTTGTTGTTTGGAAGATACATTCCAGATTCTGGAACACTGTGGAAATAAATCGAAAGGACTGCAGAGCAGTTACTGCGACACTGAACAAGATCTAAATAAACTGTGTATATTTGTATTACATATAAATGTGTATATTTGTTCACATGCTCATGTTTTGGGTTCATGATGATGAGAATTTCCTTTTCTCTCTACTGTATCATTGTTATCAAAATAATACAAAGAGTGCATTTTCAAAAATGAAAAAAATAGTTTTGAAGCAAATGACTAAACTAGTGAATAAACGCGCCAATAAAAAAAAGCTTTGAAAGCTTTCTATTTTAAACATATTCACAGACAGTTTATTTTGATTGAAACTGGTTCACATATTAGGCTTATTTTCCTGTTGAAGGTTGTGTTCTCATTACAACAGCCACAGAGCAGCAGCAGCAACCCAGCTGTAGCTAGAAGCAGAAAAACACAGAAGAAATAAGGGCAGCAGTTGTATCTGCAAAAACTCCAGGAGTCATGGGAAATGTATTCTGTATGTACACGACTGTGCTGCAGGGACCCCCACCCACATCATATTAAGACTCCGTCTCAATGCAACATCGCAAAAAGCGCTTTTCAACAAAAATAAAAAAGCTGAAATTAATGAGACATAACATGATAAGGAGACATTGGAAACACAAATAGCACAGCGAGTTCCACAGGATATTACAAATAAATCCGGAAACAGTTGACTTAAGTATAAACTGGATTTCAACTTCAACAGATTAGCCATCGTCTCAAAGAGATGGCTTTTATTATGATTTCTTAACAAAATGAAGGCTGGGGGAAACCCAGCCCCCTGAATCCTTCCTGCCACAGAGAAAAATGGTCTGCTTTTAGGACTGAAGACCATTACAATGTACCTTACCACAGCTTGAGTTTCACCAGTGTACAGAATGGCACAGTTTCTAGTCCACTCACGAACGCAACTTCAGAACACACTCCCAGTACAATCCATACCTTCACATCGCGCACACACACACACACACACACACACTAACTCTGTCCATCTTTCACTTTTAGAAACACATATTGATTCTTAAGGTAAGTGGTTGACGGGGGCTAGTGATTTTATCCTTTATTTTAAATCTATATGATAAAATTGCAAACATGCAAAAAGAGAAACAAAACAGGCAACAAAAATGGATTAAACTTATCATACAGTCAAAAAAACAAACAAACAAACAAACAAAAAAACAATGACAGTGCACTTGGTCTGGGGGCAGGAAAGGGAACAAAAATAGGTGACCTTATGCACACATCTAAAAAAACAAAACAAAAAAGGCAACAAAAACTTGAGAGAAAGAGAAATGGGAAATTATATACACTCATATGTACATTATACAGTTTGTAAATATGCAAGATGGCAGAACTCGTGTTGGTGCCATTATGGCACCCAGTACTGAACGCCCCCCTCTGGACGGCATCTGTATCTGTGTGAAATCAAACGCACACACAAAATCTAGAACCTAAAACTGCTACTTTCGAGACCGGCCACATGGACGGGGCAGCAACTCTATCTGGATATAGTTCAAAGTGGGAGTAGAGACAGACACGCCTTTGTAAACATAAGAAAAACTCAATTTAAGTTAAGACGGCAAATTGAACGGTTTATTTCAGGCTGTCTTTTTTTTTTTTTTTACAAGATCCATCTAGTTTTTCTACTAGTCAAGATATTGACTGTAACTAATTACAATGGTCATAATCTATACGTTTGGAGAGACGCTGATCATGTCACATGTCATGTCACTTCATCATTCATTCAGAAAAGCAAGAAAATTAAATATAAAAAGTTTAAACTGCATAAGCCGTTATGAACATAGCACAAATCTTGGCTCGATTTGATATAAATATGCGGAACATTGTCAACCGTTGTGGCAGGACAATCATGGTGGACTCCTATCGACCACTAGAGGTGAAGTTTACAGAGAATAATAAAGCCTATTAATCGGTTTAAAAGTACATAATGTATCTATGTACAACTAAGCTGACGTTGCTAGGTGATGCAATCTTTACAGAAAATGTTTTAGGCACCATCTTGGTTCAGTATGCTTGACAAAAGAACTTAATAAAAGAAAATAGGACGAGAAAGAGGGGCTCATAAATACAAAGTAGTCCCAGACTACTTCCTGGACGATGTTCTCTTAAATACGGGTGTGAAATTAAAATTACACTGTACAATGTGGCTAAAAAAAAAAGAAGAGAGCAGAGGAAGGGAAAGGAATTTTTTTTTTGAGCGAAGCCCCAGAAATGTCCGCATTAAAAATGGGGATACGTCGATTTTCTTTACAAACACACACGTATATGAAAGCAGTGTATGGAAAAATATGCTTATTCAAGTTGATAAAAAAAAGATTTTCAGAGCGATAGAGATATAGAGATGAACGTGAACATTGTTAACAGACACATTTTACACCAGAAATCTCTGTGAGGATGCAAAAATTATGGACTCTGAACCGAGAGGACCAAGCACACATGTAACAAGAAAAAACTAAAAATAAGTGGAAATTGGCTTTCCACGCAGGAAGTGATATCAAAACTGTACTGGAATGTGGCTCGGAAATATTCAGGCCTTCACCAGACGCTGGTACCACAGGGGAAATGTATCCAGGTGGTCTGATGTCTTCCGGGGGACAAAAAGAGACGCCAGTTATGGGTTAAGACGAGGGACACGGTTCCTCTGAAGGGTCCGAGATAAAGGCGAGAACGAGACAGAGGAAAGAGTCCCCTGGTGATGTCGTTAGAAAGGTTCCTGTGCTGTTTGATGATGTCACGGGACATATTCTTGCATTTTGATGCCGCTGCGAAGAGCATCCTCGGATGAGACACTAGATGATTCTTGAGCATTTATGATATTATCAGAAGGTCCTTGTCGTTTGAATGATGTTCCTATAAACACAGTCCTTGCTTCTTGATTATGTTGTGTTCAGGTGATGTGTCGGCAATTTCCTGTCTATAAATCTCCTCGAGCATCGTGTTCACCACGCCTCTGTGTAGCGAACATCCACTTCCTTTAGATTGGGTAGTTTGGCCTGTGGGCAGGACCAGAGATGGAGAGGTTTAGATAATGAAACGTTTAATGTAGCATGCTCCTGGTTTAACATCCTTTGTTGTTCCTGGAACAACATTCCTATCAGCCCTATGATTCTTATTATTCCTCTCTGTCATGGCTACGATTGATTGACTGAACCAGGAACATGTCCTGCTTGTGTAAATAACATTAAAAAATGATAAGATTATAAGAGTTAAAGGTGAAGTGTGTAATTTCTGAACCATTAGAGTCACCAAACTGTATTGGAAAAGTAGAGACTGTTGATACTGGTTTCCTGAACACTCCCTCATCTGCTATTGGCCAGCCAAACAAGATAACAACGCCCCTAAACTCGGGCCATTGGTCAAGTCAATGTGGCTGTTTTGTGTTGGTTGTAATGCTTCAATGTTTTGAAAGCACCACTGAATAGCAGTATTTACATTTTTGGGGAAACTCAAACTATGAACAACTTTATTAATCAAAAGTTTGGGGTCAGTTTGATTTTTTAATGTTTTTTAAAGTAGTATCTTATGCTCACCAAGGCTGCATTTATCTGATCAAAAATACTGTAAAAAAAAAAAAACAGTGATGTTGTGAAATACTATTACAATTTTAAAATTGTTTTCTATTTTCCTGTGATGCAAAGCTGAATTTTCAGCAGCCATTACTCCAGTCTTCAGTGTCACATGATTCTTCAAAAATGTTTGTAATATCTTAGTAATCATTTATTTTTATTATCAATGTTAAAAACAGCCGTGCTGCTTAAAATTGTTGTGGAAGCTGTAATACATTTTTTCAGGATTCTTTGATTAATATAAAGTTTAAAAGAACAGCATTAACTTGAATTAGATTTTTTTGTAAAAATTAAAAAATAAAAAAAATCTTACTGACCCCAAACATTTAGGAAATAGTGAGAAACATTTAACTCGTTTTTAATGACACTTCATCTTTAAATTCAAGTTTCAATCCTAGCAGTCTGAGGGTCTGCTAGAGTCATCATCCTCTTACCTTCAGGTCTTCATATGTGTCCGCTGTGAGTTTAGTACTGTTCATATTCAGGCTGCACAGGCTTTTCATTGCTGCAAGGAAAAGTTGCAATATTAATTATAATGATCCTACATGTTAATTAAAATAAACCATAAATGTGTCGGGACAAACACTAAATGCTCTTCACACTGAAAATAAACCACTTTTTTTGTTAAATGGATAGTTTAAATACTTAATTTTTTAAAACTTAAGTTATGCCATAATTTTATAGCCAAACAACAAGTAGATGGTTGTTTATATGGCTAAGCTCCAAAAAGAGCACCATTAAAGTGGAGGTGGGAGCAGGTCTGACATCACTGATGGCAAAAACCACTAGTTCTTGCATGTTATCTGAATGATTGTGACATGGTAAAATGTCGCGAATGACATTTGAGATCTAGAGTGGAGAGAAAGATTATTCTTGAACAATGACTATGGCTTCAAAAGACTTGGACTATAGTGCATGAGTCATATTTTATGATTCTTTGAAGCTTGACAGTATAAATCACCATCCACTTTTGTCACGGTATATGAAAAACAGAAGTTCTGACATTGTGTTCTCCTTTTGTGCTCCATGGAAGAAAGAAAGTCAGTCCTACTGGTCTGGAATGACATGACAGAATTGTCATTTTTGGATTAACTATCCTTTTAAGAAACCTCAAGCTTCACAAATAGCTACGAACTGTTGTAGACCAAGAGGCTAGAAAATAAATCTAATCATTTTAAATTCAGAAACAGCTGTTTTTTTTTTAACAGTTCAGAATGAAAGTAGCTGGATATACTATTTATGTAAATGCGTTCTTACAGCTGAGGGAGAGCAGGCCAGCATCCGTGACTGGAGTCTCACACAAGTTCAAAACCTGCAGACAGGCCAGATGCTCCGAAAGCAAACGGAGCCCAGCATCTCCAAACTAAAGCACAGCGAAAACATAAATCAAGTCAATAAAACAGGTTTTTATTAAAGAAATTAATACTTCTATTCAGCAAGGATGCATTCAGTTGATCAAAAGTAACAGTAAAGATACTTCACAAAAGATTCCTATTGCTGTTGTTTTGAACTTTCTATTCATCATAGAATCCTAAAAAAAAGTGTTTGTGTACCAAATCAGCATATAGCATATGTATATCGGCACATAGTGGAGATTCTCTTTGACTATGGGACTGAGAATGGAATGAGCAGAAGAAAACAGACCTGGGTGGACCACAGGTTAAGCTGTTTGAGGGATGGCAGTTTGATGAGCTGTTCAGCACAGGCACTGGTGACGTTGGTGAACGCCAAGCTGAGGTTCTCCAGATTGCCGAAGGAACCGGAGCTCAGCAGACGAGCCAAGTCGGCATCCTAGAGTAAAAAAAATGTGAGGAAAAAGCCTCGAGGAAGGATTTTTGGTTGTGTTTTACTAGGAAAACAGCAGCATGGATGCAAGCAAATACATTTTAATTTATGCAAACACACTCACCGTCGATTTAGATGGCAGAGTGAGTCGAGTAGGGCCGCCTTTTCTTTGCTAAACGGAGAGAAAGAGATATTACTAGTGCTGCAGTTTTTAGTTTAAACATCAGGTGGCGCTTGAGAGTCAGCACTGTATACGTAAATGGGTCACTTCTGTCTTTTTGTGTTAATGGGAGCACTGCGTTAAACTAAAAGTCAGAGCTCGGCAAGAAGCAGCGTGTGCGTGGCAGTGAAAACGTCTCGGTGTTGATTTGTGAAATTGGTTTGTGCACTCACCAGTTCTTTAAGCTCCCTCTGTCTGTCGCACAGCTGCTCGTACATGCGCAGGCCGACCTGGGTGCTCTCCAGGGTGGAGATGATCTGTAGCTGAGTGTCCTTGTTCTCTATGATGTTGTACTCCAGCATCAAACACAGGATCTGCACGGCAGACACACAGGGATCACTGCTATATCCTGCATACCGGTTTGCCTGGAGTCTCTTGAACTCTCCACAGATAATGTAGTGAGCTGCCTTGCTGTCTACTTAGGCAGCATCCATTCAGAAATGGAAACTGAATTGAAATTGCTGGATTTTGCCCACAAAATTTAGCCAAAAAAAACTAACAAAAAAAATGCTTGTTGCTAAACTAATAAGTGGATACTATAAATAACACAAAACAAACCGCGTTATAAATATCGGATTAAATAAAATCCTAATTCTAAATCCACAAAGGATACACGCAGTCAGACTTTAGACTATCTGGTCCACTTTGCAGTTTATTCTAGTCTAGAACTGACAACTTAGATTCGAAAATCAACATTTAAAGTGATCAACTACCTTTTATTGCAAATGATTATACTACAACAATAGATAGCTGTGGAAAAAAAACAAAACAATACAACAGTTTCCGCAGATGATTTGCAAGAAAACAGAAGACATTTGCGGAAATTCACAGAACAACATTAAATATGACCACACCCTAATACTCAGGTTGACTTCAAAAGAATTTGACTTTAGCATGTTGCTAAGCTAACAAGCGCTACTCTAGTAAACACAAAAACATAGCGCATACAAATACTGAATGAAACAGTACAATATACGATGACATTTTAATAAAATTGTAATAATTACAATGCATTCTAGGGTTGCCAAATCCACAAAGCATACATGCAGTCAGTCTATCGGCTCTCTGGTCCACTTTGCAGTTTATTCTAGTCTAGAACCGCCAAATCTGACTTATACATTGAAAGTGATCACCGACCAGTTTTTTTTTTTTTGTGTGTCATTTAGGGGCAATTTTAATTCAAATTTGTCACCCTACAACAATTAATGACTAAGGAAAAAAGCAACAGTTTCTGCAGATGGTTTTTAGAGAAAATGGATAGAAATTGGCAGAAAATGTGCTTAGAATTTCTGTCTGTACAAAAATACAGATGATTTAAAACAGAATATGCAATTCGGCTTGTGGATATTTCAGTTTTCTTAGTCTAGTCGTTAGATTTTCCACAAAAGCATTCATTAGTACCTTGTAAACACAACTTGGTTTCACAGGAAGTTGCATAATGCTAGCCAATCAGATAAAAACTGCTAATTTTCAGTCTGCTCTTACCATTTTGTGTGCAATATTCATCATATGGTCAGTGAACAGACTATGGGCGTTCTGTAGATGTGCCCTTAAAGGCTGAGACTAGCAAAACTAAGCCTTTAAAAAAAAAAAAACCCTTTGGTTGACCCATCCATGATGCCTAAAAATGTTACATAGGTGGGCAGCTCACTACATTTCGGCTCAAAGCAACAGTCATATGTACCTCCACCATGGTCTGGTTCCCCCGCAGGGCCAAGAGCATGCATGGTCCCAGTTTATTTTCAGCCAGCGACAGGAGAAATTTCTTCGTCTTGTAGCAGGAGCCCATGAGGATGTGGACCTGTGAGGACGAACAACATCACACCATAAAAGTAGATATAGTGGCAGGACAAAAGACTAAACTAATTGAGACATCTCGCATTTCATACAAACACTTTCATACCATGCTAGCAAACAGCTCTCCGTCATCGTCGCAAGCTACGCCTCCTGGACTGTAGAGCTGGAACCACCCGTCTTTTCCAGAGCGCACGCTGAGCAAACAGGAATGGACCTGTGAGAGACACACACATGCACATACATTCACAATGGCTGAAGCTCAACAAAGCACTGTTTACTAAGTCTACAGTGGCAATATTAAGCAGGCATTCGATTGATACTGTAAGCCAAACAACACCCTTTCTGCACACTTTCCTGTCTCACCTCTTGTCTGGGATCTTCAGCAAACCTCTGAATGACATATTTCAGCTCTCTGTTACAAAAATAAAACATGAAACATGTCAACGTAAACACTTTAAGTAAACATCCACCTCCCCAAAAAATTATTCGGTCATCATTTACTTACTTTCATGTTGTTCCAAACTTTGTCTGAACAACATGTTTCTATGCAGTTACAATTAAAAGTGATTGGAAGCATAAAAAAGATGCAGTCTAATAAAAATGGGTTAAAATGACTCCAGGGCTTTATTTTAAATCTTCTTAAGTTATATGACAGCATTGTGTAATAGCATTGGCTGAAATTATATTCACTATTCACTGGTTATCTTAACCGAGGCTTGTGTAAGTTTAATTTGTGAATTAATAATTCAGACCATTTTTGTGCACTGCTTGAACCAATTCACTAAAAAGATTCATTTTATGCAGACGATTCATTTCATGAAGCTGATTAAACTGTTCTACTTAATGCCAAGGAGAGCTAGTGTGAATGTCAAAATTTTCAGTGAATAATCACAAAGTATGTTCTTCAAAAGCTATAGTATGTTTTCAAAAGACTTTTCCACAGAGCACCCACAAGTTATTTCATAAAGGTTCGAAAAAACATAAGGGTGAGAAAATGAGTTTAATTTTCTTCATTCACTTCAGAGTTTCATAATGACTCACGACACTTTCAAAACTTTACAACAACTCTTCATTCAGTCATCATTTATTCACCCTTATGTCGTTCCAAACCTGTAAGAATTACTTTCTTTTGAGGAACATAAACTGATGGCAAAACCGATGTCACTTACTTTGTGAATTTGGCATGTGCAAGGGCCCTAGAGAGGAGAAAGCAAACAGAGAAAAACACAGACTTGACTCAGGCATGCAAAAAAAGACAGTGTCGTCATTCCACATAATTACACAAGTTGCTTTCTGAGTCTATATGTAGGCGTGCTTGCCTCGACACGCATGATGATACAATTTCAAGTCACAAAGTCTGGGAGGACTTCATCAAATGTTTTACATGTGTCATGAGTGCTCTGGGATGCGCCTAGCTGTTGTTAACTTTTTCTAATGAAGACTGGAAGCTTGGCGTAGCGTATGAACACAGGTGAGCCCTCCACTTGTGGCAACCTCAGGGCTCTGCAGAAGACTTGTAATGATGTGCTCTGTCCTGCAGGGCCAATTACAGGAGCCACAGAGGACACAAGATGCCTCACCCAATACTCACAATCCTGCTGCAGAGCCCTGCTGGGGCTCGCCCACATCAGTACTCATCCCTGCACGCTGTACCTTGAGAGACCAGCCCACCGCACGTACAGAGAGAGCCCCCGGTATTGTTATATAGGCTACACATCCAAAACATAAATTCATATTTCACATACACTAGCGTTCAAAAGTTTAGAATCTGTGAGATTTAAAAAAAAATTAAAAGTCTCTTATGCTCACCAAGGATACATTCATTTGATTAAAAATACAGTAAAAACTATAATATTTAAAATATAACTACACTTTAAAATAACTGTTTTCTATTTTAATATATTTTAAAATGTAATTTAATCCTGTGATGGCAAAGCTGAATTTTCAGCAGCCATTACTCCAGTCTTTAGTGTCTCATGATCCCCTAAACAAAACAAAAATCATTCTAATATGCTGATCTGGTGCTCAAGAGGCATTTCTTTTTATTATCAATGTTGAAATCAGTTGTCCTGCTTAATATTTTTGTGGAAATCAAGACACTTTTTTCCAGACTATTGCTATGAACAGAAAGTTAAACAGCATTTATTCGAAATAGAAATCTTTTCTAACTAAAATTTTAATATATTATACACTGATATTGAGTATAGAGTGAGCTGTGTGACATCTAGTGACTATCTACCAATGATGCTTTTCACTTTTGTTCATTTTAACATCTTTTTGATTAAACTTGAAACAGTTATCTGTGGATCAAACTGGGCAAAACGGTCTCAGAACCAGCCGACTAATTTAAATAACATGTGCAAATGCAATAAACACGCTGTAAATAGAAAACTTAAAACACAATGGTAGATAAACTGATTGGTGTAACTAACACTTCACAATGATGAGTTAATTGCAGCAGCAGAAATCATCGTACTAATTGTAATGGATTCCATAGTTGAAAAAGGCGGCAAGTAAACGTTAGAAAGAAAGTAACTGTGAGGAGGATGAGAGGGGAGTAAATGCCCTTACTCTTTCGGGAAGGGGATTGGTTGAAGCAGGCTGGCCAGTGCTGGTCTCCAGTCATCGTAGTCTGATCTGTAGAGGGAAAAGGCCAGAGGAGAAATTAGAGATTCAGAGGCAGGAAGAGTGAGAACTGGAGAAAATAAGAACCTTATGTAAGATCGGCCAGTGAAAGCTGAAACCTCAGAAGCTCTGCTGTGATCTGCAACAGGATGGTTCACAATAGGATCAGGTGAAGGTGGTAAAGCCTAAAAACAGATTCGGTTCAATGAATCTGTTATAAATATGCAGACTAGTTTAAGGTCACGTCTCAGTGTGATTATGGCTGAATCGGCTTTTTTATATCCCAAACTGATAATTTCTGTCAGGACCACTATCGTCAAAGATGATTGACAATTAGCATACAGTTTGGATTGGCGGTATGGTTCTGTTCTGGGCAAGAACTCCCTGTGCATTCATGCAGCCTAGCATGGATGAGAGCAGGGAGAGCAGCGATAACCCTCCAGGGTAAACAGAACAGAACCAACATGAATGTATTGTAGATATCGTTAAAGTTCAATAATTTTATGTACACATTTTAGAATTAGTCTGATTCAAAGGATAATCAGAAGGCTGAATCCTGACTGACAGAGGAGGAGCTGGGGATGGAGGAGGGTAATTAGCTATTGAGCAATGCGAAAACTGCTGATAATACTGAGGGACCTCATATATGATAAATAGAGCTTAGATAGGTGTCGTATTCCTATAGGTAGATGGGGATCAGCTGTTGCGAGCTTGACTAACGTGACCTGCCAGAACTAACGCTACGCTTGATTTATACTCAATGTGGGACTATTACGGTGTTGGAGAATAGCTACAAAACTTTTCAGTAGCTCAGCTGTTATTAAAATAGCACAGCATTTTCTGTAAGCGAATTATTCCAAAACACAGCAGTGTTGCGCAACAAAACGCTGTATTGTGCAGCCTTATAATGCACGAACAAACTCACCCTCTTACAATCCACTTTCATTCACAAATAGTGCTGGATTGTTCAATCCATTTAACGAAACAAAAGAAATACAAAATGTTTTAATGGTTCATTTTCTTTATATTAAATATTCTGCGGTGAAATATTACCAGGTGGTTTCGATCAGTTTTTCCGAAAAAGTTTGTACAGGCAACTCATCACTTAATAGTGTTCCCGGAATTTCCTTCATGTGTTTTTTCTTTTAGGTAGTGAAATATTTAGTTAAATCAAATTACATAAAAACTAAAAATCAAACTACAATAAAAAAAATACTCACTTGTTTTTTAGATTCAGGTATGCGTGTTTGAGTGTGTATGTATATGTATATTATACACACACAAATATTTTTTTATATTATTTAATTTAATTATCTAAAAGTGAAGCTTCGGTGTAGCTACTTGTTTACTTGTTGGCAACTTGTAGTGTAGCTAGCTACTTTTTTAAATGTACTTTAAAAAAGCTCATCAATTCAAATAAAATTAATTTAGCATTATTTATTTAAGGTCCTGTAATGATGCAAGTATTTACCTCTACCATGTGGGCAGGTCTGGCAGTCATTACTGCCAAAGGAACTTTTTAAAACTGGACAGAGGTCTAATAAGTGTGGAATAGTGACAGAAAGATCCAGTGACGCTATACTCACAGCATTTTAAGGATGAGGGCGAAACATCCCAGCACTCTGTTGGCGTGAGCAGGCAGCTGAATGGACAGGGCATTGAGCGCGGGGCTGACAAGTAGACAGTCGATCAGGTTGGGCTCGCTGTCGCCTTCTGCGGGGGCCTTGCGCAGTGTGTTAGTGGTGTTGTTGTTGCGCTCCAGCTCTACCAGGATCTCGCTGGAATTGACGATGGAAGGTGGTGGTGAGAGGGGCAGGGCCGGGGGTGGGGACAGGGTGGTAGTCGGGGGTGGCGTGGGCGGCTCGGGCCGCAGCAGGCGTAAAGGCATGGGCGGCTTCCTTTCACTTTGCTGCTGACAACCGTTTCGGATTTCCTTGAGACTGGGAGAGTTGTCCCGACTAAAAGAAAAAAAAAAAAAAAGAAAGAAGACACGGGGTAACGTGGGGTCCTGTTATTTTTTTAAGGATACATTTTTTTGGTTGGGGGAACTAGTCGATATTTACGGTTCAAAAGTTTGGTTTTGATTTGGTTGGTAGGCTTGCTGCAATAATCGGTGTTGACGGTGTTAAGCCGCAACACCGGTTACGTCACTTGCTCACCGTGGCACCGTGTTGTTGTTGCGCTCCAGCTCTACCAGGATCTCGCTGGAATTGACGATGGAAGGTGGTGGTGAGAGGGGCAGGGCCGGGGGTGGGGACAGGGTGGTAGTCGGGGGTGGCGTGGGCGGCTCGGGCCGCAGCAGGCGTAAAGGCATGGGCGGCTTCCTTTCACTTTGCTGCTGACAACCGTTTCGGATTTCCTTGAGACTGGGAGAGTTGTCCCGACTAAAAAAAAAAAAAAAAAAAAGAAAGAAGACACGGTGTAACGTGGTGTCCTGTTATTTTTTTAAGGATACATTTTTTTGGTTGGGGGAACTAGTCGATATTTACGGTTCAAAAGTTTGGTTTTGATTTGGTTGGTAGGCTTGCTGCAATAATCGGTGTTGACGGTGTTAAGCCGCAACACCGGTTACGTCACTTGCTCACCGTGGCACCGCCCCCCCACTGTCTTTTTGATTTTTTTTTGTAATAAAAATAACTTTGTTCAGTTAGAGAACAAACTACAATTGGCGGCTGCAGTGAGCCAAACAACAGTCGCATCACAGATCAGCAGCAGGAGTCAGACTTTATTTATCATGCGAGGAGAGCGAGGAGAGAGAGTCGAGCTGACCGACAAGAAGAGTGAGGTGAGACAGACAAGACGATGGCGGAAAATTTAGTTTCGAAACAAAATGCAAAAGCGCCTAGCTGTTAGGCAATACTTTATTTAAACTTGAATATTTTACTTTATTTAAAATGTGTAATTTAACAAAAATTCTATGTTTAATATAAGTGAGTTGTGTTGTACCATTTTATTATTGTCCATTCAAGCAATTGATGCCAAATTGACGCTAATTCGAATTCGCATGGGCATTTATAAGCTATTTAAAAGCGAAGGAAAGTGAGGAATTGATGGAAAACCCAAACGAACTCCACCCCCTGGTGACAGTGGTATTACCGGTGTTGTCGCACGTCGATTAACCAGTGGAAAAATTTCACCACCGTCACAACCCTATTGGTTGTTATGATTTTTTTTGCTTGTTTGTTTTTTAAAGTAGTCTCTTACACTCACCAAGGCTGTATGTATTTGATTGAAAATTAAGTAAAACCTGTAATATTGTGAAATATTATGTAATGCACTTTGGATAAAAGTATCTGCTAAATGCATAAATGCAATTATTACAATTTAAAAGAACTGTGAATGCATCCTTGCTGAATAAAATTATTAATGTATTTAAAAAATGAATAAAAATTTAAGAAATGACTATATATCATATGTTTTCAACAATCAACTTTTCTGAAGGTTAAGCAACTCCTTTCAATGTCATTTGGTTGAGAAACGGAAAAACAAAATACTCATATTGCATTCAGAGAGTTTCAGGCACATTCCATGGAAATTTCCATATTTGCATGCAGTCATATACAAAACACCAGCTGTTTAATTTGCTACATGGCCACAGTATTTGAAAGACCTTATTTGACTAACAAGTAACTATGGGACATCTGACTCTGGTAGGATGACAAATGGAACCCAGGAACGAAAACACATGTAAATGTGCACCTTTAAAATATCCATGAACTGTAGTTACGGAAATTTGTCAAAAGGCCATTGGAGAGTGAATGAGAGAACAGATCACAACAAAAAACAGAGAGGGAGCAGTGCAAGGAAGCCTAGGGAGTAAGATTCGACACTTCTCACTCTCTTGAGTCTTTGCGAATCATGGAAACCTTTTAAAATAGTTCCTTATTCCTCTCAGGTGGCTGCACCGTGGCCCAGATGCTCACAGTGATGACACAAACAGGACAGGTGAGACCAAAAATGTCACTACAGCCAAGTCACTGTTGTCTGTCACAAAAAATACTGACCGATTAAAGCAGGTGGCAAAGGAAGCGTGCATATTTAAGGAATATTTTAAAAAACAGGATATGGAGCCATGAAGTCAGCAAAAATGATTCAGAGAAATGTTTTGAGCTAAGGCCTCAAGGGTAAATTGCATCTCATGGGTTGGAAAACCAGTGAATCGGACGCACCTGTTGATGAATTCTTCGTAGCAAGAGTAGATGGCAGCTAGGCACACCGCCACGAGATTGGGGAGAACCCGAGGATGAGGGCACTGTCCGGTGGGACCGTGCATGCTGAAATCATAACATGTAAAAAAAAAAAGAAAAAAAAAAAAAGGTCAGGTTAGCACAGCTCCTGCATCCAAACGCACAGAGTGACTGCGTAAAGAAAACAAAGCTGAAACAGGAAGTAAGCGCAGGGCTTGGTCCTAAACAGACCATTAAAATGTCATAGTCTGATAGATAAAAGGATGTTACAGTTTGTGTACATATGAAGGCCTGTTCTTTGTACGTAAGTGAGGTGGAGCCAAAATGAGGTAACACTGGCAACGTTTACATGCACAATTTTTGGTTAAATCGGACTGAATTAATTCCGATTGATGAATCTGAATGAAGTGTTTACATGAACGCTAAATAAAGTGATTGGGTTGATGTGCGTGTTTATATGTCACAAGCTTCAAATTGGAATTGATTTTTTTTGACATGCACACACTGCACAAATATTTTTTGAGTTTCTCAGAGTTTCTCACTGTTTGCACATAATAACCACTCTCCTCCACGGTTTCTTTATTTGTTTTTAACAGCAGAATTAATATTGATCCATTTATGGATAAATATACATATAAACCACTGTGTGGTGCTGCTCATATTTATCACGCAGTAAAAATGCCCCTCTCCGCGCCCAAAACGGGTTGCCTGTGGATGAGTATCCAAAACAAGGACTGGTGGGAGGTTGTCCTGCTCCACTTCACAGTTGCCGAGTGAAAGGAGAGTTTTATAATGACAGGACACGCATTTATACAACACTTTATTCAAAAGGAAGAACCGCTCGTTCCGCGCGTCATACATCATTATGCTATTTCTGCATCATTGCACATGCGCAGTCCTTTCAGTTTCGGGGTTCAATCCTATCGAGTGTTTACATGCACTCTCAATCGTATTAGAAAAGGAATAAACCACCCCCTTCAAAGCTCAGTTGGATCGATTAAGGTGTTTACATGAAGGATTTTCAGTCCAACTGAGCCATCAATTCGATTACAAATAGATTATTTGGTTGCTTGTAAACGTAGCCATTGTGTCCTGGCACGATGCAATGAGATTCCAAGCTTTTATCGCCTGCTGCATTGTTAGGACACAGTCACTCACCTGTGAATGAACTTCTTGACCACTTCCATGCCAGCGTTAAGCTCATTCAGAGCCAAAATATACTCTTGAGTAAAGAGACGGAGTCTGGGGCATTTCCCAAAGTCCTGGAATGAGAAGAAAAGACATGAGTCAATAAATGAGGGTGTGAATTCAAGAGCACTTGTGGTGTAGTGCGCAGACCCACCATGTTGTGTTTGAGGATTCTCTGAACCACAGGAGTGAACACTTCAATCACCACCATCGACCGAGGACGCTCCCTACAGTGCTGTGTAGAGGAACACAAAAACCGATATTGATTAATACATATATTAATCAGCAAAATCATTATAGCTAATCCCCTTCTTTAAAAAGTACTTGGTAAAGTAATGATATCAGACAAAAACACTGCACAATTACCATGGTACACAATACACTACCATTCAAAAGTTTGGGGTCGGTACAATAAAAAAAAAAAAAAGTCTTCTCTTAAGCTCACCAAGGCTGCATTTATCTAATTAAAGATACAGAAAAAACAATAATATTATTGAAATATAATTATAATTTAAAATAACGTTTTTCAATTTTAATGTTTTAAAAATGTAATATTTTCCTTAGATGGCAAAGCTGAATTTTCAGCAGCCCATACTCGTGTCTTTAGTGTCACATGATCCTTCATTCTTATGTGATCAAGAAATATATATCTTATAATCAATGTTGAAAACAGTTGTGCTACTTATTATTTTTGGAGGAAACTGTGATACGTTTGTTTTTAGGATTCTCTGATGAATACAAAGTTCAAAAGAATGGCATTTCTTTGAAATAGAAATCTTTTGTAACATTATAAATGCATTTACTGCCACTTCTGATCAATTTAATGTGTAATTTCTTTTAAAAAATTACACTCAAATGTTGAACAGTAGTCTGTTTTTGTAGAAACTAAAATTGGTTTATATATTAAATAACCATGTGATGATGGCAATTTAAAAAAAAAATCCTAGTAAATGAATACCATACAAATGACTTATATTTGACCTTTTTGTCCTTTAATAAGTTATTTCAGAAACACAAACCAAAAGCTGAAAAATGAAAGCTTAAAAGCAGCAATAAAATAAAAAAAAGAAAAGAAATAAAATAGGGTTTACAATACTGAACTCAATTGTTCCCCTGAAGAATAGCCAGAATTGTCACATTTACCTGGCAGAAGAATTCACACAGGTCAGGGGGAGGGTGGTTATTCTCCAGCAAGGGTGCGATGGCCTACATACAGATTCAAACCATTAGTCACTTCCCCACAGACATGTAGAGACTTGTTGCTTTTCATCCACATTTTACAGAAGTGCACATCCTTCAGAGAGCACATCTGTGTGTGCATGTCCTGTTTCTATGGCAGTCCACTACATTTAAGTCAATTTTCTTCTAGAGCGTGATTCACTGAGACCTAATACACATTACGTAACTGCCTTTGTTAGTTAGCAATGGAGTTTAACACACTGTTGTGTGAAGGCAATATGTGTCTTCATATTTTCTTTGCAAAAAAAAACAAAAAACAGCCCCACTTACCACAATGATGTTCTCATAGTCCTGAGCGCTGAGGTTAGTGTTCTAGGAAGGAAATGACACAAAAGCATTATTGAGAATTCATTGGCCAGTGGTAACACGTCTAAGTGACTCAACAACCAGGCTGCTTTTAAAATGTTAATGGCCTTCTTGGGAAAGCCGGTGTGACTCAGGGACACAAGCCTTTTGACCAAAGGCCAGTGAGAGGTCTGTTTTTAGACCTTTTAAACCCCTCTTTGAATTCAAATGCTTGGTATATGTGGTGTTCAAAGACGTAATCTACATTTGCAAATCAAAGTAGGGATCCAACCAATCTTTCCCTATCTGCAAACAATCTGGAGAAGGAAATCTTCGTTGTGTAGCGATGCCAGGTAAAAAAAAGTCTCACTAAACCACAGCTACACAGGCAACCACAGGTTAACTCTTAACCTGAACACAGACTCGAAATGACACGTAACACACCTCAATTCACAAAAGACACTCATAACCAGAAATGAAAGCAGAATGCTGCTCAAGTTCTAACATAAAAGATGCCAGCTATACTTCAAGGAGAAACTGGTTGAAAAATAATACATCTGATAAATTTAACGTGCTCAATGAGAAAAATGACTCATAAATGCACAAAATAAAAATACATTTCTTTTAGGGTTTTAGGTTCTAAATTAAGAGACAAGTTTATATGATATTCTATTCCCTACATAAGGATAGAGCAACTCTGTCAATACAAATAATTTTTTCTTGTCTATCAGGGAAAATGTTTTAAGAAATCTTTTATAACTTTATAAATGTATTTACAGTCACTTTTGATTAATTAATGCATTCTCAAATTCATTTATACATTTTTTTTAAACCTTTGGAAGGGTAGTGTAACTGTTTCAGTAAAATAATTTTGGGTAAAAGTGTTTATATATTAAATAACCACATGTCAACTTCTATTTTTTTTTTTTAAATCCTAATAAATTAAATTCTGTAAAAATGAAAGGTATTCTTCTCATTTGATCATTTTTTTTATTATAATTTCATGAATATAAGCCAAACGATTTTTAACAACTAAAATTGGAAGATTAAAAACAGCAATAAAATAAAAAGTCTTATATTCTACTTATATCAATTTTTTTTTACATTTGACATATCTGATGTCCTCAATGAAAAAAGGGACTCCTAAATAATAATAAAAAAAATGCTGATTGCCCTAAAGAGCCCACTGCAAAGTTTATGATATTCTGTTCCCTAGATATGTCCTCTGTCAATATAAATGTTTTGTTGACGGTTTATTTTTGTCTATAAGGCGAAAAATCTTAAGCACAATCACTTAGAAATGTAACAGCTCACTTATCCTCAATAAGCTGCATGATTTGAAGTTATCATCGCACGTGTTACAAACAAAAATTTTGGGTGGAAACACAAGTATGAGCAATAATAAAAGTGATGCACGCCTTAGCAAGCACTATTAATGAGCTTTATACTCGTCAAATTAAATAATTAATAACTAGTCTTCTCACTAATTAGATGATGTGACGTACCTCAGCAAGCAGGGTGGAGATGATGTGCAGCGGGGCCTGATGGATGGAGTCGTCCTGCAGAGGTGAGGTGAGGGCCATATCCACCAGGGCCCTGATCTCCTTCAGAACCACGTCCCAGCGGCTCGGGTTATTCAGAACCTTGCGGTACTTGTAGATCTTTTTCTGCAGATGAGTCAGAAAACCCAGAAGGCACACACCTGACTTTTACCGATGCAACCAGCAGTTATGAAACCGGCACATATTTTACGACCATAATGCAGCTAGATAACAGCTTTTGAACTACATTACGGTGTGAATTACCTCACCGAATTTACCCAGAGATGAGCTGTGGTGACCAGGCTTGGAGATTTAGGGTTTGAAGTTCTTATTTTGTTCCATTTTATTGCACTCATGCATGGATCTTTTTTCAACCACAGGCACTTTTCTTAAAACAAAAAAGCATTTTCATGCTCTCACTAGTTAAATCTGTCTTCTACCAATGTCCCACAATTGATATATAGTCTTTTTTTTTTTTTACGTCATAAACATTTCCATTGCATCTCAAAATATGGAAACTCGCTGACTGGTAACTCGATGCACAAAATGATGCTCAGAAATGATATTTACCATTTCCTCTATACACATCACATCTTATATTTCATATCAAGCATGCTCTTCACTGACACAGCTTGGTCTCCTTGGTAGCCAATTATTAACTTTTTATAAATATTCACTGGTTTGTAATGGAAATGATGTCACATCTGAAGTTACAAATTGTGTAAAAAATTATAATAATAATTCCTCACAATAATACTCAAATGGTTTATAACCTTTTCATTCTTCCTTTCAAAATTGTTTCAATGTGGGAATAATGATGGTGGCTTCTTTGTCTTGCTAAGGCCAATTTGCCTAATTTGACAATATTATAACTTGACTGGATATGACGCACAATCAAAAGCTCTGCTTGCAATTGATATTTATTATTTCCTCCACACATCACGTCTCATATTTCATATCAAGCATGATCCTCAGGGACATTGGCTGTCTCCGTGGTAGGGTTGGGTATCGTTTTTTTTTTTTTTTCCAATACCGGTGCCAAATCGGTACTTTTAAAATGGTTCCAGTGCCTAAACGGTGCCTGAACCGATACTTATTAAAATAATAAATAAATAAATAAACCCCCCTCCAAAAAAATTATGGATTGGCTATTAGAACAGAAATAGAATAGAAAGAGCAAATGTTAGAGGGTCAAGTTTTTTCATAAAAAAAAAACAAGCAGATCCAAATAGAAGTAGCATTAGAATAGAGTGCTAAAGTTAGAGTGTCAAATGAAGATGAAAGAGATGTGTTTTCAGCCATTTCTTGAAATTATTAAGGACACACTGCTTGGATTGAGCTGGGCAGGTCATTCCACCAGGAGGGAACAGTTAATGTAGAAATCTATGAAAGTTTTATCATAGGTAGAATGCAAAATGTTTCAATACAAGCATTTCAGTCAAATGTAATTTATGCAATATTTCAAATCTTTAACCCACTTGGGAAAATTAACCCATGGCAACAGTTTAAAAGTAGCCCAATTCTGTGGAAAAAAATGCGGACTTGGCAACCCTGCATCCAACAAGAGCTACCGGAGTCAGCTTTGACTGATCTCAGGTCGAGAATAAGGAGAGATGACTGACAAGACCATGCTGGAGTATTTGCTGCTCAACAGATTCTGAGCTCATTGACAAATAACTGATCTTGTAAGATGTGCTCCCTTTACACAGAGTGCGTGTGATCACAAAATCGAAAGTGAAAGTAAACCATGCAAACGCTCATTCAAAAATATTTAAATGGACCGCATCCTGAGAGCGGCTCCCTGATGCGCCAAAATTATATACAATATTAGAATGTTTAAAGAAGTGGACACGAAAATCATGGGAGCGAAACGCGTTGCGGGAGCAGGCGGCAATGGTCAGAGATTCAGTGGGAGTGGGATTAAGAAAACAGCCAAATCCCAGACATTTTGGGCAATTAAGAAATCCCGGCTGGACGCATTTTTGTAGGTCCAAAAAGAGGACATGTCCGGGGAAAAGAGGACGCATGGGTCACCCTAATTTATAATCTATTGCTAATCGATGTATTCTTTTTAAAGTATCATATGGAACATATTTTCTGTCTTATTCTGTGACAAGAAGCCTCATCAGACAACAAAAGGAAACATTTGACTGGTGTTGTGGAGTAAAAAGGTTATAATGTTCTCTTTTGTTGGACAACAGGTTTAGAAATGTGAATACAAGGGAGGTTTAGCTTTAGGCATTTTAATTTAAGTATGTTTAGCTTGGTTAACGGAAGGGCTACCTGCTGCCATCAGAGCAAGTGTAATTACTGCATTCACGTACTCCTCGGATGCTTTCATTTCCCGAGTTGTGCTTTTAAGTCGGAATGTGAAAACAACATGGACACTCTCGTTACTACAAAGATGTGTTGGATTTGTATTATTAAACCTTTCCGACTTGAGTTCACATGCATTTTCTCAGTCGGGAAATTTTTTTTCACGTACGGTGCTGGTGATGATGTTTCTTACGTCCGTTTCAGAGAACCAGAGGACAAATATTTCAATCAGTCGCTCAGGAATGGCACCGAAATCTGCGTTCTGATTCGGTTCTAGTACATACCGGTTACATAGGTACCGGTGCCATATTGGTACCGGGTTTCGGTACCCAACCCTACTCCTTGGTAACCAAGAATTAACTTTAGATAAATCTTTATTGAGTCAAAATTGTTAAAGTAGTAAATGACGCCACAACTGAGGTAGTAAACGCCGGTGTAGAAAATGGTATAAAACATTTGACACAATAACAATCAAATGATTTAAGACTGTTTGATTTTTCCATCCAAGAAAGTTTCAGTGTGAATAGTGCCTTTCGCATCGCTTTAGTTACAGAACTAAATGGACAGTACTAAAGTACTGGGGTGAGTCGACGTATACGTAAAGTGATTGAAAGAACGGAAAGGAGGACTAAGAATCTCCAACGACAACTGGCAGTGCTACATTTGCTACAAGTACCTGCACTTCAGCGTCCGTCCATCTATCGCTGTTCTCCATACTTGCGAAATAAGTTGACACAATGTTTACAGTATGTTTACACTGCGTTTTATAATCATGGCAAGTGAGGGCGTTTTCGTACGCGTTTGGCCAATCAATGTCTACTTACGTCACGGGTAGTACCAGTTGTGCTGGTTAGACCCTGCTCCGGAGTAGGAGCTAATTTGGTTCTCGAAAAAGGCAGTCCGGTACTAAAATCGCTCCCAGTTCCGGCGGTGCGAAAACGCCAAAAAGTGGGTAGTTCCACAATTATTTCTGGTACTATGAAAATGTTCCTACGGTGCGAAAGGCCCTAATGTCACATAACAAAAACAAAATGTTTTAGTTTTAATAGAAATCAACACATGGAACATCAAAATGCCTGTAGTTGAAGAACCACACACATATTGTACACTTACAAAATTATACTCACTAAAACCATGCAAAATTGCACCATTGCTTTTTGCAAGTCTAGCCTTCCTAAACGTGTGACCTTACCTTCCACTGTATGGAGTGAAACCACTGGTCCCGCAGATAGCTGTTAGCAGCCTACAAGTGCACACAAACAATCGCAAAATGAGTCAGTGTTTTCTCAACATGAGTGTTATGAAACTGTGAGGGGGCTGGAGGTACCTGCAGGAGGACTGTCCCTCCAGGGAAGCTTAGCTGGACACAGTATTTGGGGGCGTTGTCCCAGGACAACAGCTGTAGGTCCTCGATAGTGCTGTAAGACAGAGGGGCCTCCATGTATCCTGTAGGCTACAGAGACAGGAAGAAACACGTTAATATTTGCAAAAAACAGTCTGGGCATTAACACCTCTCAGGACGAGCGTCACGTACTGCACTGACCAACTTAATAAAATGTCTGCAGCGTCATGGAAGGGCGGTTGTACTATTTATTAATCAAATGCAAATAATATGATGATTGATCTCTGAATGTCACGATATGACTTTAAAGTTGCGTTGAACTGTTGACATACATATCTTCGAGCCAGTGTCACCCACATAATGATACTTCACGTAAATTATTTCAAAGGTCAGTAGCAAACAAGGTTGAAGCTGAAATGGTTTGTGTTGCTGGGCACAACATACAGCCTACATTATGGATTTCAGCATGACAGGACCAGAACTATCCATTTTCTATTATTCTTATTTTATTTTGATTAATAAAATTAGATTATTTTAATCATAGTTGATGAGATATACAAAAAACTGCACAATGTTTTAAACTTGTTACACTTATTTTACACAAAACGCACTTAAAGTTGAACTTGTTTAAACTTAGCATTTCGCTGTTTAGAGATGGATGTATTGGTAGGTTTTCCTCAAGTTAGCATGATAATATGAATTTTGATTAGGCATCATCTTTCACATAAGGTAACGTCAGTGGACAAAGATTGTGGACAATGGTTTATGAATAAAGAATTTGAAGTCAGGAGGATTCTGATTGGCTGTCATAGTTCTGAAAGTGATTCAGTGTCGTTATCATTATAGTTGTAATTAAAGGTGTATTCACACCTGTCTTGTTTGGTTTGATTGAATCGAACTCAAGTTCGTTTCCCCCCTTGGTGCGGATCTTTTGGGCAGGTGTGAATACAGCAATCGCACTTGGGTGCGGACCAAACAACCGCACAGAGACCCAGCTAAAGAGGTGGTCTCAGTCCGGTTCAAAACGAACTCTGGTACGCTTGAGAATTTCTGTACAATGAATGGATGACCTTAGCACATGTGTGGTTTTGTTTCTAATTTCTGGTTCACTTGCAAAAAGGGCAGTGTGAAAGTGAACCACACCAAAAAAAAATAAAAATCAACATTGTATTTGGTCCGGACCAAAGCAAGTGAACTAGCAGACCTTCCTGGTGTGAATACACGTTAGCGTTCACACGGCAAAGTTTCTAAAAAAGGACCACATTTTTTAATACAGTCACGTGCGAGTAAACTTTTCTCTCATTGGTCAAAGTTCCACGGTTTAATTTCCGGGATTCCACTGCTGTCACCCATCAGGATGGGAACAACAACAGCTTTGCAAGCTTATTGTTGTTGTTTTTTTGTAGCTGTCATTATATTAATTTATCATTTTGAGCAGGAGTCCAGGATTGATCGGGAAAACATTTTTAAAATGCACCTACTACGAAGTAGAGCAATAAGATGGCATTCTACAATGAAAAAGTGCGTTTTGATTTTTGAATGGCGAAGACGTGCTCACCCACAGACATTCACTGGTTCATTTTGAGGTATTAGCAAAACAACAAAGCTGATGCTTTTCACGGAACTTATGTAATTACCCATCATACATTATGACGTTGTTCACATAGCCTGGTTTGTTGGTCCGTTGGATCGGATTGCTTTCTCACTACAAACGAACCGCTCAAGAGTTCGTTTTCAATCGAGCCGAGACCACCTCGTTCAGGCGATCTCGGACCGATTGTTTTGGCACGGATCCGGGTCGCGATTGCTGTGTTCACATATGCCCAAACGTACCGAGCTAAGGGGGGGAAACACGCCAGGTTCCGAAACAAGGGGTCAGGTGTGAAAGCACCCTTAAGGCCAATTCACACCGCACCGACAAACGCCAACAGACAAGTTGGCCGCTGGATTTGGAATTTTATGAAAAATAACTGTCATGTTCACACTGCCCCAACAGACACCAACAGACTTCAAGTCAGGGAGAGTTAACTAGGGGGAAAAATAGATGATCTTGTAACAACAATCAAAATGATACTGTTATTAATGTATTTGGTTATATTGTAAGGCAGTTTTATTATAATAATAATAATATACTGTGAAATAAATTTCCGTTGTGAAATTTCCCAAGCGCTGTAGCGATCGATCTGATCGCATTCCCCCTCGCGTTGCGGTTGGTATACTCGGCCACACCCACAGCATAAAGCTCTGGCCTCTCCTCCCAAAGATTCAAAAACTGTTCCTCTTTCTGGTTTGTCCAGAAACCTGCCATTTTTAAAGTTATTTTCCTAAGCGCGCCCAGCACCTACTTGCAGTCTTGCCTCATTGTCATGGCAACGATTCGTGGACAGGTCAGATTATGTCAGAGTTTGTTGTAGTTTGTTGGAAAATCATATCACACTGCTCAGACATTCCACGACCCAACAAACGCCGATTAAACATGTTCAGTCGGGTTAAAACCAACTCCGACCAACACCAACAAACGCCGACAGGGGTAACACACTGATCCAACAAACTCCGACAGACTAGTCTGTTGGCGTCTGTCGGCGTTTGTCGGTGCGGTGTGAATTGGCCTTTAAGACTTAAATTCTAAGAATTATAACGATTCTCAAAACTTTATAGTTATACAAATTATTGTCTTTGGTGTGAATGGGGGGTTAACTCTTCATACATGTGGGTCTCCATTTAGGCTGCAAATTTGCAAGTTTAAGGTTCCCCTTCTAAACAATCTTTAAATGGCTGCAGGAGCTTCTTCATTTTCGTTATTTGTCAGACATGAGCCTGTTGTGGCTCATTTCTCAGTTCCACTCTTGACTGAAGTGTTGTTGGTCACATGACCTCAAATGTCAACAGGCTGTTCTCTGATCTCCTTCCCTCTACAATAGCACACTGCGGCTGTTCCTTTATTAGCTGCCCTCCCTCCTCCGCAGCCCGGCAACAGGCTCTTCCTGTATTAGCGCCGCCCTCCCTCTACTTCTTTGCACAAACAGGCTATTGCTTTATTTGCGCTGCTCTCCCTCTAGACTCAAACCAAACCACAGTTCCTGTATTTGTGTCAGCCACCCAGTTCAGCAGAGCAAACAAGCTGTTCCTTTCTTTGACTCCTTCTCTTTGCGTCTCTCTCGCTCGCTCAAACAAACAGGCAGCTCGTCCCCATATAACCGAATAAAACAGGCCTGTCTTTTATTTAACATCCCCCACTCTTAGGTGATAGACCAACTGGCTGTTCTGCAATGGAGGTCCTGCCCCCTCGGTTGCAGATTTCAGATGGCTGATTTGTCTTTCTTTTAAAGAGTCCGTGTGATAAGTATCTTTTGAATCCTGTCTCATTTTCAAGTAATCAATCATGAGTCTGCTAGCAAGCTTGTGTACATTGGAACTCGTGCCGCACGTGGAGCAAAATAAGGGGCCCGGGGTGGCAGAAACTCAGATAAACAGCTGAAGTCTACTTGTCTCTCATAAAATCAGGGTAAATATGTCACCACTGGGGTTTATAT